TATGTCTGCAGCTTGATCATTGGAGCAGACATAAAGACGGTCAATTGCATGTTTTTGAAAATGTTCTCTGATAAAGTGATACGAAATATTAATATGTTTATTTATTTTGTGGTATTCTGCGTTGTGAACAAGTCTTATGCAGCTTTGATTGTCGCAAAAAAATTGTTGTAGGCTTTACTTGTTCTTGATGTAGCTCGCGTAGAAGTTGTCTCAGCCAAATTGCTTCTTTCGTTGCTTTGGAAGCCGCAATATATTCAGATTCTGTTTTTGAACAGAGACACACAATTCTGTTTTTGACTGCACCAAGAAATAGGTCCATTATTAATCATGAACACATATCCAGTGATTGATTTTCTTGTGTCTAGGTCTCCAGCAAAATCAGCATCGGAAAAACCTATCAGAGATGTAGTGCAGGAACTCCCACCAAAACAAATACCGATGTTTTTCGTAGCTTTTGAGTATCCAAATATTATATTTACTGCGGTCCAATGTGAAGGTCCTGGGTTGTTCATAAATTGGCTAACCCTGCTGACTGCGTAGGCAATATCAGGTCTAGTTCCAGTCATGAGGTACATTAAACTACCAATTGTCTGTCTGTATGGATTCTTGTTCATTTCTTCAATTTCCTGATTATCCTTTGGGCGCATCTCTTTTGTTAGTTTTGAGTAAGAATCAGAAGGTACAGATTGTAACTTAATTTCAAGAAGGTTGTAATGTTCAAGTGTTCTTTCAATGTATGAGGCTTGATGTAGAAATAACATTTTATAGTTGTTCTATCTCGATATATTTGTAGGCCAAGGAAATAATCGGCAGTAAAAGTTTTTATATCAAAATTGAAATTTAGGTACTGTACTATATCATCTAAATGTTGTTTATTTACACTGCAGATTAAGCAATCATCTACATATATTGCAAGTAATATGTAAGCCTGTTTACATTTCATTGTATAGACACATGAATCTGATATGCTAGGTTTGAGATCAAACTTAATTAAAAACTAATGAAATTTCTTGTTCCACATTCTGGGGGATTGCTTAAGACCATATATGCTTTTCTGAAGAGAGCAAACATGATTTGGAAAATCTGGGTTTTCATAACCTTGGGGTTGTTCCATGTAAAGTTCTTCTTCCAAATTACCATTCAAGAAGGCAGATATTACATCTAATTGAATCATTTCCATATCAAGTGATGCACAAAGTGATAAGATTGTTCTAATTGAATCGAATTTTACTACTGGAGAAAAGGTTTCACCATAATCAAGTCCTGGTTTTTGTGAAAAACCTTTCGCAACTAGTCTAGCCTTAAACATTTTATTTGATCTATCTGCATTTTGCTTTATTTTGTATACCCACTTGCATTGCAATAGCTTTTCTGTCTGATGGTAGTGTCACATAAGTCCATGTTTGATTTTTCATCAAGGAATTGAAATCATCGTCCATAGCTAGTTTTCACTTTTTTTTAGTTGTGTCCTACAATTGCATCTTCATAGTTCAATGGTTCTTGGTCATGGACATAACAAGCATATGAAATAGCTCTTGTACAGTTTGTTGATGATTGTTCCTTTTCTCTGATTATATTCCTGAGAGGGTATCGACATGATTCTTCTGGTTTGGAACTGGTATTTGTGCTATCAACACTTTCTTCACTATATATAGTTACCTGCTCTTGTTGGTTATCCTGAATATTTTCTGACGTATTAGCTTCAGTAAATATTACATCTCTGCTCATGATAATTTTTCTAGCAATATGATCCCACATTCTATAATTTTTGTTAGTTTCAGTATATCCAACAAAAAATGTACAATAACTCTTTTTGTCTAATTTCTTTCTGTTATCTTTTGGTAAATGCACATAAGCGTTATATCCAAAAGTTTTCAAATGTAAGATGGACTGTTTTCTCTTGTACCATATTTCATAAGGTGTAGAATTTCCCAATACTTTAGTAGTGCATCTATTCAAGAGATAGACTGCTGTGTTTACGGCTTCAGCCCACAGCTCAAGCGGCATTTTTCTTCCATGTAACAAGCATCTAGCTGATTCAACTATTGTTCTGTTATCTCTTTCAGAAATTACATTCTGTTCTGGGGTATATGGAGCAGTGAGTTCATGAACAATTTCTAGAGATTTTAGATAATCAGAAAAATTCTTATTTAAGAATTCTGTGCCATTATCGGTTCTGAATCTTTTATTTTATTTCCAGTTTAAGTCCTAACTCTTTTTACAAATTCTTTAAATTTCTCAAGTACATCTGATTTATGCCTAATGAAGTAGGCCACTCTAAATCTTGAAAAATCATCCTTGAATGATACAAAATATAATGATCCACCTGGTGATCTTTTACTCATTGGTCCACAAACATCTGAATAGATCAGCTCTCCTGGATAGGTCGGATTTGGACTTGTTGACGCGTGAAAAACTTTTCTATTTTGTTTTCCATAGATGCATGCTTCACATAGTAAAGAATCAGGCTTTTCTCTAATTATAATGTTTTCTTCAAAAACATCATTTTCAAACATTTGGGTTAATTTTATAGGATTTACATGACCCATTCTTTGATGCCATATATCTAGACTTAACTGAGCAACATGAGTTTGTGAAGATTGCTTTGCTTTAATAAAAATTCTATAAATATTTGAATTGTCCTTTATTCCAGTAACTAGCACTTTCGAAATTTTTGTCAATTTTATCTGATTTCCTTTACAAATGAGCGTCAAACCATGTTTTGTTGCGGTAGATATTGAAAAAAGATTGGTCTCCAATTCAGGTATATAGAGAACATCCAAAAGAGTTGCATTAATTTCCTGACTATCAACATAAGAGAGAATATCAATATTTCCCTTACCTTTTGCATAGATCTTCTTTCCATCTCTAAGGCACACAGGATGAACACCTTCTGGTATTTCTTCGACCGTAGAGAACCATTCTCTTCTGAAAGTCATGTGATCCGTTGCTCCAGAATCTGCAATCCAGGAATCCTTTGTTTCAGCGAGGAAGGCACTTGTCTCAGCTGAAAAAGCACAGCTATCATCTCTGGCTGAAGAACTTGGCTGTTGTCATTTTTGTTCTTCCTTTCTTTTATAGCATTCTTTCCACCAATGTCCTTTCTTCTTGCAATATCCACAGTGTGTGTTCTTCTTTTTATCTTTAATGGATTGTTGATGCTGCTGTTGTTTCTTTAAAGCTGTTGATTTTCTGTTGAACTTTGAAAAAGTCATCAAGGCATTATCTGGTTTGAAATATCCTGAAGAATCCCAATGATCCTGTAAGCTTTCTTCTTTCAGTAATCTTGTCGTCAAGTTTTCTAGAGTCTTTTCTTCTGATGAAACTGAATCCCACGCTGTTATGAAATTCTTGTATTTATCAGGCAAGCTGCAAATTATCTTTGTAATTAGGACAACATCAGAGATTGGCTCACCTAGATCTTTTATTTGTTGTGCCTGAGTTTCAACTTTGGAAATGTGAGAAGCAATGTGATCATTTGGATTCATTTTATATTTTCCTGTTCCCTAGTCGACGCACATTGTTAATGGTTTGGTACATGATCATATTTTCCTGTAATTGTAATAATCATTTAACTGTATTATGCATTATACTATATTTAAAATATTAACTGTAAGGTTTTCATCCTTCCAAACTGGTACACTAATTTAAAATATTTACTTATATAATTGCCTTATTCTGTCTGTGTGAAGTTCACGGATAGATTTTGGTCATCAACGCGCGCATCATCATTATGATCATTATCATTATCTAATGATAATTATTATTATTATCTACTTATATAATTGCCTTATTCTGTCTGTGTGAAGTTCACGGATAGATTTTGGTCATCAACGCGCGCATCATCATTATGATCATTATCATTATCTAATGATAATTATTATTATTATCTACTTATATTATTGCCTTATTCTGTCTGTGTGAAGTTCACGGATAGATTTTGGTCATCAACGCGCGCATCATCATTATGATCATTATCATTATCTAATGTTAATTATTATTATTATCTACTTATATAATTTCCTTATTCTGTCTGTGTGAAGTTCACGGATAGATTTTGGTCATCAACGCGCGCATCATCATTATGATCATTATCATTATCTAATGATAATAATTATTATTATTAATAATAATTAATCTACTTATATATAATTGCCTTATTTTGTCTGTGTGAAGTTCACGGATAGATTTTGGTCATCAACGCGCGCATCATCATTATGATCATTATCATTATCTAATGATAATTATTTATTTATTATATATTATATAATTGCCTTATTCTGTCTGTGTGAAGTTCACTGTGTGAAGTTCACAGATAGATTTTGGTCAGAATGGATAAAATAAAAAAAGTGTCAAGGGATGGGAATCGAACCCACGCCCTTCCGCTTACCGGGCAGATGCCATGACCACTAGGCTACCCAGGACATATTTTTCCCTTCATAAAGTTAATTATAGTATTTGAATTAAAACGTTTTTGAAATATATACACACTCGGGTAAAACCCGGGCATTGCCCGGGCCATTCGTCTAGTCTATATATATATGAAATTGAATGTCTGTCTATCTGTCTGTCTGTCTGTACTCTATAGATTAAAAAACCATACATCCAATCGCCGTGAAATTTTGGGATATTATTAGGTATATCACCGGGAAGGGTTTTGAAAAATAATTTCATGAATATCTTGAATATCCTTAGAGTTATTTGCAGATTTGTAGATTTAACTCGCAAGCAGCGCCCTCATTGTGACGATGATAACAAGTTTTCTTATCACTAAGTTTGTTATCTTAAATATTATTTATCAAAAGTAAGATTATCTCAGGATGACACGGCAATTTATTTGAGACAAGAATAATGATACAATTCCAAGGCGAAGATACTATTCCTTTAACTTCCAATTACCGAGGGAACCAATTAATATTGATTTTATTCAACTTATCGAGTATTTTTCAAGGGACCGGGAAAAAATGTTCACTTTATCGAGAGATTCGTTAAACAAACCTTTACTCGGGTAAAACCCGGGCGAATTCACGACCTTCCGCTTACCGGGCAGATGCCATGACCACTAGGCTACCTTGGACATATTTTTCCGTTCATAAAGTTAATATATGATTTAGTAGGTGAAATGCAAAAAAAAAAATCGACATGATGAAATCTTTATGAAAATTCACATTTTTATATTTATATTTTCAAGACACACACAGTTCGGGGCGGGACGTTTCACAAGAGAGACATCCACGGCGCCAATTTATAATTGTAACGAATAGTACTTTAATTAAAACATTTTAAAAACACACAGTTTGGAACGGGACGTTTCACAAGAGTGACATCCATGGCGCCAATTTATAATTGTAACGAATAGTATTTGAATTAAAACCTTTTTGAAATATATATGCACTCGGGTAAAACCCGGGCGTTGCCCGGGCCATTCGTCTAGTTATCTTATATTGTGTCCTCCACATTTACACTAGATTGTTTTTAAAATAAGCTTATAAAAAAATTCACAAAATCTATCTTCTCTCATCAAGAGTAAAAATAGAGCAAAAAAATACTTCTCTCTCTCTAATTAGCTTGATTTTATATTTGGAAAATTATTATCATGGTTCTGTCTTTGCTCTTCTCTATAAAACTTTCTCTTCGCTTATACCTTTTTTCACCCAGCCTATGACGCGCAACTGATGCATTGCTGGTGATACTTTTTTTCTTTTTTTTATTATAATATATTCTAACTAATTATTTATTACAAAAAAAATAAAAAAACATACCTCACATGTTTAAATTTAAAAAAAAAAATACATATAATCTTAAAATTTTCATAACTATACTATATCCCTATATATAAAAGTCAGTGTATGTATGTGTGTTTGTTCCTATGTAGGCTATAAATGTCCACAATACGTAACTAATCTGACTGAAATTTTAACAGTATATAGAGTAGAATCTGGAAAAACTTATAGTGAAAATTTCAGGTCTCTATCCCGAATATTCGTAGAGTTATCTGCAAATTTGCATTGTAAATTTGCCCTTTCGCTCGCAAACAGCGCCTCTAGCGGTGAAGATGGGAGGTAATATCAACTGACCTAATGTACATGTAAAACATGTTTTAACAGGAAATAGAGATAATCTGGAAGAGATATTTAGCCAAAGAAATTGAAATTGATAGGTTTGGGCAAAGATAGTTGTTTTTTAGTCAGAAAATGATTATGACAATATTGCTTAATCATGTTTGATTATCAGATACAAAATTATATCGAGAAAAAATCCTAAAATCAGAGACCAGGGGTGAAGCTAGTTCATTTTTAGTATGCAGGAACAAAATTCTAACAGAAAAAAACATTCATTCAAGCAGAAGACACAAAGCCAGATCATCTCTCTCTAAAAATATCGCTTCTCAGACACAAAGTTTGGAGCGGGACGTTTCACAAGAGTGACATCCACGGCACCAATTTATAATTATAACGAATAGTATTTGAAAATCAAAATAATAGAATTTTAAAATATCTTTGTGAAAATTTACATTTTAATTTTTATATTTTAAAACACGCAAAGTTTGGAGCGAGACGTGTCACAAGAGTGAAATCCACGGCGGTATTTGAATTAAAAACATTTAATCGGGTAAAACCCGGGCGTTGCCCGGGTCATTATAGCATATATAGCATATATATATGTCATAATATATGCTCTTCCAGGAATAATAAAGAAATCCTACAGTCAACCCAGAGAGAGAGAGAGGGCGGGTAAGGATCGGTCACTTGAGACAGCAGCGACCACAGGGGCCGTTACTTGGAACCTCAGGACTAATTAAGACAGTTGGGTGATTGTGTGCGATACGAACGGCCGGCAGCTCAGCGGCGGGCAGGCCGGCTGACCCCATCTCTCTCTCTGGTTGTCAGGATTACTTTACCAATTTGTGGTATCCTTATTTCTTTTACCCCACATTATTATATTATTATTTTATTGCTGGGGAAGGAAGACCCTGTGGGTCTCGCCCTCTACGGTCACTCTAGAGGGGAGTGAGTGGAGAGGCGTCTCTGCGTGTTTGTCGCTCGCGAAAGCGAGGCGCACGTGTCTTGAAACTCTTGGGTCTTCGCTCTGTGTGTGCGTCTTCGGGAGCGTCCTTGCCGTGCGCACCATGAAAAACCAAGGGGTGCACACAGTAGTACCACCCCCCCCCCCCCCGCCTCCGCGTTGGTTTCCCCGCGTCAACCTCGGCATCTCAGAGGTCCTTGATTTGACGGCAGATTCAGGGAGGGGGTAAGGGTGCGAGGGCTAAAGGGGGGGGGGGAGTCCTATTGGAGCGTAGGACGGGTCGATCTAAGTCCGAACGAGAGGGCTCGGTCAGCAACCTTGCCAATGAACTCTCGGAGACGCCTGTGGGTGAATGGTCAACCCCATTGTAGCCGGACCATACTGGCGGGCGCGAGGGGCCTACCAAAGGCAGCTCGATGCATGGAGAATGCATCATTCCTTCGGGCTGTGTGACTCTAGAGGGGACGCAAGGGCATTGCTGCCTATATCGTCCCTGGCTTGGTGAGCCGAATTTCTATTATTATTTTATATTATTGCCACATTGAAAGTCGACAGGATAAGACCTGGCCGGGAAGCAAATCCCTCATATACCAGAGTATGAAGAAAACAAGAAGCCAAGCCACGATGATCGTCTAAACCCAACTCAACTGTAGCCACTTTACTTCGAGCTCTCACCCCCTTCCTCGCCAACCTTTGAACCGTTACCCTGAAGAAGTGATCACCTACGACGGAGATGAAACTGCCGCCCACTTCTACCAGCACTAGATCTGCCCAAGAACGATCTTCGCGCCAGAGCAGGACACCTTCCACCACCATGGACTCCGCCATACCCCTGCCGCAACTGTGACCCACAACACTGGCACGTACAGCAGACAGAACCCTCCCTCAATGGACTCAATGAATCTACTTTCTCTCTGAACCAACATAACCTGTAAAGTGAAATTGTTTTACCTCTACCATTCATTCTTTAAAGAAGTCATTCCTTGTAAACCCTGATGCCAATATTTTCTATAATTAGTGTTAGAGACCAATTCTTTCCTAGTCTACAATCGAGCAGAGTAAACACTAACACCTCTCAAAAAATTAACACCTTTAATTTCCTTTCATAACTAACCATGACTAACTCATTTACATCATTAAAAACCAATTTATATACATGTAAAATCGTCCAGTCATCTGGTCAAAATATAAATAAACTAATCTAGGAAAAAACAACTTATAAAATCCTAACAATGCCCCCCATTTTAAAGTTGTTTTCATACCCTCATCGGAGGCCTAGAGTGGCCAAGATCCTGGTCAGTTCAATTCTTCCAATTCCCCCAGTTAGAATATCTGCAATACTCCCTCCGCCAAGCCGCAATTCTTGAAGATCTTCTTGGGATTATAGTTTCATTCTGGCCTTCCTCTTCGTCTTCTCTCCTCAGTTCTTCGTCTCCACAGGCCTGCTCTTCATCCTCTTTTCGTTCTAAGTTATTCAGATTTCTCTCTACCGATATTGCTTCTTCATCAGTCCCTGAATATCCTCTTGGGATCGCAGCTTCATTTCGACCTTCCTCGTCTTCCTTCTTAAGTTCGTCTTTCTGATTCCTTTCCACCAATTTCGTATCTTCCTCATTTACAGATTCATAGCCTTCTTCAAAATTATTATTTAAAACCTGGAAAAAATCAGTTTCATGTGAAATTTGCTTATCGACTTTCTTAGTTGGGAAAACATCTTCTCTAAATCTGACATTTCTGGTTACAAAGACCTTATTGTTTCTGAAGTCCCAAACCTTGTATCCCTTGACTCCTTCCGGATAACCAATTAAAACACATTCTCGGCTTCTTGAATCAAATTTGGATCGACGCCGGTCGTTGTATACCCAGGTCTGACAACCGAAAACTCGGATATGCTCAATCTTCACTGGCCGTTCGGTCCACATTTCTTCTGGTATTTTGTTACCTATTGCCTTGCTAGAACATTTGTTTCTCAAGTAACATGCTGTATTTACGGCATCTGCCCAGAATGATTTATAATTTTCCCTTTTCCCTCTCGTCCACGTATTACGATAATTCCTTGGTTGATCATATTCAAATTTATTTCGCTCTTGACATGGTGATTTGCATGTATCTTCTTTTCTTCTTACAGCAAAATCGCAATTAGGATCTTCTTGAGGAATTTGACGCTGTTTCTGTCTTTTTTCTTCTAAAAGTAACTTGGATTTAACCACACTAGTCGATAGCTTCTCTTCTTGCTGTTCTAAACTGAGAATTAGCGGCTCGTAGCTCTTTGGCAATCCCAATAGCATAATCAAAGCTAATTCGCCATCCCCAAATCCATGGTGGCACTTTGCTAATTTTCTATGACATTCCATTATTCTCGCGAAATATTCCTTCATGTCTTCGTCATTTCTTTTGACAATATTGAAAAACTCTCTTAGTAACTGTAATATGTGCAATAAGCCATACTTTGTGTGGATGTCCTCCAGTATCTGCCATGCATCGATCGCTCGCTTGCAATCACCGATATCATCCAGGAATGAATCCTCAACTGCTAATAATATGACAGATAATGCCAAACTATCTTTCCGCTTCTGTTTTTCTGAAGCTTCACTAGGAAAGCCAGGTTCAATTGCATCCCATATACCCTTCTGGATCAAAATAGATTTAGTTCTTATGGCCCAGGTATAATAATTATTCCCATCTAGTTTAGGTATTCTTAACTCGTCAGCCATTGATATTTCCAGTTATGCAAATCTGACAAAAAAATTATAACTCAAATATTTTCTTCTTCTTCTTCTTTAAACTTTCTACTTATTCCCATTCAAACTTCACCTTCACTTCTTCAAACACTACTTCTTCAAACCCTATCTTCACTTCTTTAAACTCTACCTTTTCAAACTTTAGCTTCACTTCTTTAGACTTCAGCTTCTAATTTCTCTCTACGGCGCAGTGGAAGCGTTCTGCTGGGCCCATAACCTGTTAGAGACCAATTCTTTCCTAGTCTACAATCGAGCAGAGTAAACACTAACACCTCTCAAAAAATTAACACCTTTAATTTCCTTTCATAACTA